TTTACCGAGCTCGAATTCTGAGAATTAATATCTCTTCGGTCAATGGCCGCCATCCTCTGAAGCTCCGATGAAGTGTCATCACACATCGACTGTGCCCTACACACGCATACCCCAACACACACATCACAAATACATTTTCTTTGAGGCAGATATGGTTGTATGCTGTTAAAAGTGCAACGTCTTTCCCGGACCAGTCGCAATAAAGGTACGAGGATGTATTGTAGATATATGCAGGACATCAGTGACAACATGGAGCATCTCAATGCCGATAGGCTATTGCACCACAGCGTCACGCTATTTTGTCGCCAAAGAGGAAATACTTTCGTGTTTGCTGCATTTGCCTGAAATCGACATCATCAGGAACTCGACGTGAGAAACGCTCAATCACAGATTTGCATTACTCCAGCCTCATCGCTTCTGTGCATAGACTTTGTATGTAATCCTGTGGTGTATGGTGTGAACGCACCATTAGTAGAATATTCACTGTCCTTTTTACTCTGTTTTGGTCATTTAGCAAATCCCTTCTAGAAAAATCTGTCTCTTTGATATCTAGGAGTTGACTGTACTGTGATGCCAAATGTTAAGAGCCTAACTCTTTGTGCCATTTGATGCTGGGCCGGTAACATACCAGGTAGCCTTTGTTTAAAACAAAACAATCAAGTTCTTTGCTGTTGAACTGGAAAGAAGTGGAAACGTTCTGCAGAGCCGAGGGGTAACTGCAGGGTTGGTTGATATTTCAATAGGTTTGGCATTATTAGTAACATCGCTTGACTACACAGCCCTTTCTGATTTGGGCAGTTTTAAATGTAAAATGTAGATATTAGTAAACTATATTAACTTTCACAACATACACAAATATGCAAAGCCACATTAGAATGCAATACAACACAGAACAGAAGATATTTTATAATATTTCACAGTTATCCCTAGTTTTGTACTATGTATGTAGTGACACCAGTATTATATATGTGATCAAGAACGTGTGTGCATGTGTGTGTGTCCCGACCTGCTTGGTGTGCTCTCAGCTCTGTCACTCTCATCCTCTGTCCACGTTTTCACAGACAGCCTGTGTGAATTCTGCACTGGACCTGCCATACTGAACACATTTAGACACACACACACACAACAGCGAGAATCAATCAGTACCATCGCCAACATACATAACTGAAGATACACACACTAATAATGACACACAATATTACATGCAAGCTACAACCCGCATTCACATTAAAAGAGACACACACTGATAAACAAACACAACTCACAAACCAGCAATAACACACACAATAATATACTGACAGTCAGAAAAAAAGGAAGGTCATCCAGTCTGAGGTCACCTGTATCAGGCATCACCAAGGATACCAGATGGCATAGCAACAGCAGATGAGAAGAGGGGGGGAGACAGAGAGATATTTAAACTTAACAAACCTGATCAATTTTCCAGATATCCAAACAGCAGCCCGTAAATTTGTCCGTTTAATTCAGGTCTTTATTTCAGCTGGATCCCATCTTTATCCATTTAGTTGGATCTGTAAGACAGTAATCGCAGAAGAGCCGACAAATGAGATGGATGTACGGGTTGAACAATTCAGCGACTGACCGATCAAAGGAATGATCACATGGCACTCTAAAAGAACATTTTAAATTGCAAATAGTATGTGCGTGTGTGTTCCTTTTGACTAGGAAGCTCATCTAAATTCAAGAGCCTTGTTTGAAGTGGCCTCTGAGCAGAAAGTGGGTCTTTGTGTGCGTATATCCCCCTGATTACTGAAAGATAATGTTTAGTATGTATGCACACACCAGCATGTGGGAGATTTGTGAACTGCAGTATTGAGAATATTGATTTTACATCTAAAAAATCTGTTTCCAATTCTACAGGTTTAAAATTTGAAAGACTGTGTTTTTAAAAATGTAGTGTAAATTAATATCTCATAGTGATGGTCTGTTGGTCTGTTTATTCTGAGAGTGTGTGTGTAGGCTAGAGAAGCAGGTTGCAGTATTTTTTACGACATAGTCAAGTCAAGTCAAGTCATGTTATTTTGTATAGCCCATTATCGCAAATTACAAATTTGCCTCAGAGGGCTTTACAGTCCGTACTCATACAACATCCTCTGCCCCGAAACCCACCATCGGCACAGGAAAAACTCCCCAAAAAATGAAAAAACCCTTACAAGAGGGAAAAAAGGGAAGAAACCTTAGGGAGAACGTCAGAGGAGGGATCCCACTCCCGGGATGGACAGACTACAATGGATGCCATGTGTACAGAATGAACAATGTATAATACATGCAATTCCTATGACAGAAATGATAGTAATGAAGTAGTTGTGAGTAGTAAGCCAGGCGCACAGCAGGACCACTGCAGGGGCAACCACCATCACATAGAACCACCATCCACAGAAGCCTGTGGGGAGGGAGAGCACAGAGATTTTAGGAGAGGGTAATGTCGGTTTATGAGTAAAGTAATATGATTAATATCTAAAATAATGATGATGATGATGGCAGCAGCAGGCGTCAGCATGGCCACGGTAGGTGTCAGGACCAGGGTCCCGAAGGAACCACGATCTACGGAGACCTGATAGGGAAGAAAGCACAAAAAAAACTCCCGGAAAGAAGCTGAATTAGTCATGTGCATTAATAAAATGTGAATTATGGTAGCACAAGAGCGTGCAAGAGGAGCTTGGTGTGTCCTAAGAATTCCCCCGGCATTCTAAGCCTATAGCAGCTTAACAATATTATATGGCCTTTATATGTATGGAGGACTAAAAGTGCCACAATTAAATAAATAAATACACAATCAAATAATTACTTAAATGTGTCATTTATTAATTAAAATTAGAATGAAATACATAAATGTGTACTTAAATGTGTCATTAGTTAATTAAAATTAGAATTAAATACATAAATGTGTACTTAAATGTGTCATTAATTAATTACAATACCGATTCATTTTATGTAAAATATATATTTAACTATTTCACTATTTACATTTCATGATCCTGCATTGCAGCGCTTCATGAATTACTTAAAACTGTCAAACTGACCCATCAAAGTCAGTGGGCGGGGCTAACGCGAATCTAGTCTGATCCATTGCTTTGGTCTGAAGTAGAGTACCTGGATAGAAACATGGAGGATCTCCGTGAACTTTCCAGGGTGTTAGTGAGAGACATTCTAAACTTAGCAGAGGATGTAGAAGCAGGACCTGCTGAATCAGAGCATGTAGCTAGTAAAGCAGAGGAACTAATTGAAGTTGTTGGAGTCATTTCCGCACTTTTCGACAAAGATATCGACCACAGAGTAATTGCAAATCAAGAAGAAGTTGTCCACCGCTTCTCTGGTACCAGGGCGCATCAGGCCCAACACACACAGGGACCGGGCCGTTTGCCGTTTGACATACCGAGTGCAGTTCTGGAGCGTCAAGTTCTTTGTGGAGTTCCCGGAGTTCAAATTGCAGCGATGTTCGGAGTGTCAAAGAGGACCATCAGGAGGCGCATGCAACAATACAGTTTAAGGTATTTACATGAATTCATGAGGTTTCTGTTTATGAATTGCTGCTCTCATACACTCTGAAAGAATATGGCGTTTAAGGTAATATTACTTGATGTTGTGTTTTTTTTGTTTCTACAGAAAAACAGATCTCTATTCAGCTGTGAATGATGAGGAGTTGGACCATATTGTAAGTGAAATTCACAGAAGTCATCCAAACACCGGCTACAAGCTAATGCGTGGTCACCTGAATGCAAGAGGTGTGCGTGTTCCAAGTGAGTATAATAATATGGGCATTATTTAAATGTATTTTTAATTCTGAGCTCTGCCCTTTTGAAAGGTGAAGGAAGCCCGCTTATGGAAAGACATCGCCTCTGAGATGTAGAATGTGTATAATAGAAGAGAAACACACATTTCAGGACAGCTGACTTCTATCATCAGGATAGACATGTCCTGTGATTTTTAGCCTCCTGTTTAATAGAGGTGGAACAATATCTGACAGTAATATTCTCAGCTGTCCGGATGTTCTTCCCCTCAGTCTCAAGACTGCAAGAGTCTTTACGCAGAGTAGATGCAGAGGGAGTCTACATGAGACGTCTGAGGCTGCGTGTATTAAGGCGACGGCAATATTTTGTTCCTGGCCCAAACTCTTTGTGGCATATAGATGGCCACCATAAGGTCATCAGTTCAGTGATATTAGCAGATAAACAATGCATCGTTCTAGATGTTTCATTACAATTGTTTTACAATAAAGTTGTATCTTTTCATGTGTTTGCAACAGGTGGAGATTTGTTGTCCACGGTGGGGTGGATCGATTCAGTCGTTTAGTGGTCTACCTGACTGTGGCTTGCAATAACAGAGCTCATACGGTCTTACAGAGCTTTATCGCCGCTGTTGAGCAGTATGGGCTGCCATCAAGGGTACGGTCTGATAAAGGGGGGGAGAATGCAGATGTAGCAGAATTCATGATCAGAAGCAGAGGTACCGACAGGAATTCACACATCACAGGCAGAAGTGTCCACAATCAGCAGTAAATAAATATGTTTGGCAACTAGGCTCACACAACTAACATACCAGTTGAATGTACTTTAGCATATGTCACATAAATTAACAATTTGTCAATTTTATCCTAAACACAGAATAGAGAGGATGTGGAGAGATGTTTATGAACATGCCCTGGACCTCTTCTATCAGATCTTTAATTCATTGGAAGATCAGGGAACACTGAATCCAGACAATGAAGTCCCATCATTTCGCTCTGCACCGGATTTTCCTTCCACTGGTTCAGCAAAGCCTAGACTCTTTTCGAGATGCTTGGAACTTTCACGGTCTGAGAACTGAAAGGAATCGGTCACCACAGCAACTCTGGAGAAGTTACAGAGAGCAAGGCCCTGAGGAGGATCCTACTGAGGTTAACAATCAACTTTAAACACGTTTCTAAAGTGTTTCCCCAAAGTAATTATGGGAGGAAAAAAATTGTGCTTAATGTGGTACTTTAAATGGAACATTTACTATAGATAATTGTCTCTTTAAAATCTCCCAAGCTTTTAAAGATCAACCTGTGAGCTGTAGTTTCTACAGTGCATACTACAGCTGTATTATTTTACAAAACTGATTTTAATAACTAACAATTTCTCACTGACTTGGTGACCAAAAATAACAATCTTGTGTAAGGACATGTCAAACTATTTTTAAGTACAAGTTTGATTATGCTTGTCATCTTTTCAGATTCCTGAAGAGTATGGGATCGACTGGAACGGACCTCACAGCCTTCATGGAGGCACTGTGTCAGTCCCCGAAGTTCAGCTGGCCCGTGAGCTCTCAGATGAAGAGGTTGCAATTTTGCCAGCTCCAGGAGTTTCTGTTACTGATGCGCTTAGACTATATGTAGAGACTGTGGAAGTGTTATCAAGAATCTTAGACTGATGTCCAACACATGTTTAATTTGTTGTGTTAGAACAAGCAGTTAAAAGCTGAAAGTTTGCTTTCCTTTTAAAAAATAAATATTATATATATATATATATATAATATTTATTTTTTTATATATATATTATTATATATTATTTTTTATATTATATATTATATTATATATATAATATATTATATATATATATATTATATTATATATATAATATATTATATATATATATATAATAAATATATATATAACAAAAATAAATATATTATATATATATATATATATATATATATAATATATATAAAATATTTATTTTTTTAAATAAAAATATTATATATATATATATATATATATAATGTGCAGAATAAAAATAAAATAAAAAGTCAACTACTGTGCACAGTGTGTTAATCAAAGTTTTCAAAGACACTGAACTTGTGTCAATTCATCTGAACAGTGTAGGCATTGACATTAGGGCTGGCAATATGGAGAAAATCAAATATCACAATATTTTTGACCAAACACCTCAATGACGATATTGTATGGTTGACAATTGATTCATTCACAAAATATCTTCCACATTTAAATTTCTGAAAAATAACCATCATAATGTGCATATAATGACTAAGTGGTTAAAGGCAAATAATAGAACAGCTAGAACAGTCTGGTAAATTCAGAAAATGACACTTTACTGTAATGCAGCCTTTGAAACCAGGAAAAGACTAAACTTACCATGTAACAATATTACGCTTCAAAATCACAATAGATATAATATTGAAATATTGCCCTGCCCTAATTGACATCTGTCTGAAAAAACTTAAACAAGCCCAAATCCAGTACTTTTTATAGCAGCGACAAGTGCTTTCTCAAAGTCCATGTAGATTTTGAAATGAGCTGCCAGGTTTAGGCGGCACGGTGGCGTGGTGGTTAGCACTGTCGCCTCACAGCAAGAAGGTCCTGGGTTTGACTCTGCCCAGTGGCCTTTCTGTGTGGAGTCTGCATGTTCTCCCCGTGTCTGCGTGGGTTCTCTCCGGGTACTCCGGCTTCCTCCCACAGTCCAAAGACATGCTCTGGGGATCAGGTTAATTGGGGACTTTAAATTGCCCGTAGATGTGTGAGTGTGAATGATTGTATGTCTCTGTGTTAGCCCTGCGATTGGCTGGCGACCAATCCAGGATGTACCCGGTCTATCGCCCAAAGTTGGCTGGGATGGACTCCAGCCCCCCCGCGACCCTGTCTGCAGGATAAGCGGTTTGACGATGGATGGATGGATGGATGGCAGGTTTAGTGTTTCAAAGCATGTGGAGGACATAGGAAGGGTTCCCTCAGAAATCTCCACTGTCAGTTCAGGAGGAAGCATCTCCCAGCCAACCCAGAATGTCAGCAGCTGGGCCAGGGTACCTGATGAAGCTAAAAGTCATACAATGGATTGAAGACATTTAGTTCAACTTTATTTGATCATATCTAGCCAGGAGACATAGAAGCATTTGTAAAGAGAGAAATTAGGTTTATACCTGTTTCAATGAACATCCTTAGAAAGCCAGTGAAGCGGCAGGTGGTGTCCAAGTCAAAGTCTTCATCATCACTGTCCTCAACTGGCCATGTGATTTTTCTAGGAGCATCTTAAAGAAAACAAAAATTGTAATTTTAAAAAGGGAGAACTTATTTTGGTGAAGGACTATGCAGATGACATTCTTGGAAAATGGAAAAATAGCCAGCTCAGTCATTGAAAATAGACATAAAATTCATCAAGTTAAGTCACAAATATAACTAAATTACTGACTTACCTGGGGTGTGAACTGCATTTCAGCCATTTTGGGGAAAGGAAGTGGGACAACATCTGGCCTAGATGTCAGCAGGGGCCATACCATCACATCTTTCAGTCCCTTTGTCAACTGTTTAATTTGGCGCATGGTCCTCCCAACGACCTAAGAGACAGACCGACCCATATTACAGCCCAAATCCTTAACCCAAATTTGACAAAAGTTGGCACAGTAGAAAAAATGTTAATAAAAGCACAATCAAGTGCCTTATAAAATCCATTAAAATGTTAGTACTTAAACTCTCGTGTTAACATTAACAAGCCAGGGTTCAGAATACATTCTATAATTTCAACAAGTACAGCAATGAATTCTGTCACTTAACCAGCAGGAACTCACTGCATGGAGTAGAAGTTTATTATGTAGCCATCTCCGATTTGTTTTGGTGACTGCCGGATGATCCCAAGACATGGAAAGATCTGAAACTGTTTCTTTCTGTTCCAAGAACAAGTTCTTCTTGTTCAAGATAGAATAAGGACCATACTATTTATTATATCTGCCCAAGCAATATTTTTTACATGGCAAAGTTTCTTTTAGGTTACATAAAAGTTCTATGATGCTCCTGATGTGCAGATCAGGACAGTCTTCAACAACAACAGTAGCCATTTCAGGGTCCCCATTGAACAGTACATGAATTACAGCAGGACTTAATCCTGTGACATGGGGACCGTCATGCAGAAAGGTGTGGGCCAACATCCTTCCTGCAACCCAGAAGAGGTTGCTTTCAATAAGTGCCTCTGATGCTGCTGGAACAAGATGGTCAGGTTCACCCTCAAATAGCAGTGTTCGGCCCATTCCTCCTGTAAAGAGAGCAGGGAATAAAGTCACAACAATTAACCTCTTAAATACATAAAATTACATCATACTAGTGCAGTGCCCGTTGAAAATGTGCCTGTTTGGAACGGGCGATTACTTTGCCTGTGGTATTGCTGCTTGTAGAATTCACTTAAACCAAATTGTAGCCTACTCCAAAATGACTTACAGAAGGACCCCAAACCACTTCAAATGCAACCCCCCTGTATACCCTACTTACTGATTTACCTGACACAAAACATTGCCCACCGGCCCTCCGCTAAACAGCACATATCTGCGTTCATCAACCACCAGAACGTGTGCGTGTACTTACCAAGATCTAGACTGAATCCAAACTGGAGTTTGGATATGATTGTTGTCATAAAGTACCGCATCACTCCCTCTCCAACAGCAACATCACCTGAAATAAACTACCGATAATAACACAGTGGAAAAAAAGTGGCGGAGAAATACAGGTAACTGGATTAGCTAACATTTAACAAGCAAGGGAGAAAAATAGTCAAAATTCTATTGGCTGTAATTCTAGACCAGCATCCTTAATATTGATTATTCCACATAAAAGTATATTGTGCACAATATTCACATACATAACATTTTTATCAATTATATAATTTTGTGCATTCCATTCTCCCATTTTCGAATGGGACAATTCCATATATGCTACTTGAGTGGTATAAACTGTACTGGTGTATTTATATTATAAACTTTATATTACTTACCAACCAGAGTACAATGAAGAGGACATGCCCATTCTTGCTGCTGTTTATAGAATAAGAGAAGCTCCCGTTCCCGGTCCTCTTCAGACTCCCTTACATCCATCTTCATTCTAAGTGGTTTCCCAAAATCTGTCACAACGCTGAGTTGACATAAAAACGGCATTCAACAAAAACTAAATATGAGAAAAATAGAAAAACCCAGGTGCATGTTATTAATTGCCTGTAACTGTATTATCTTATCCAATTATATCTTACAAGTGTTATCTTTCTATTGACTTTTCAGTTACACACAATCTTATAACACATTTGTGATGACACACACACTGTTTCTTTGCGATCCAACTCCTCGTTGACAATCACTGCTGGAACTACTGCACTCTCAGCTGATGTTTCAGACCTCACTGGAACACTGTCACTGACTAGGGCTGTCTCACTATCATTTTCTTCCCTTTGGCCTCCCTCTTGTTCTCTTTCCTGCATGGGTGTCCTTGAAGTGAACACAATTGAAATGATGGTCATACTGGCTTATTTGTGTGCACAACACTCTAAGAGGACATATTCCCAAAGAAAACGAATATGCTACCTTTGCATTGCTTTAGGAAGTACATACCCATTGCAGCTCAATCTGTGGAGCTTCACCTCTGAAAAGGGAACTTCCTTCTGACAAGTGATGCAGGGGATGACTGGACCAGAGGCAGGACGTGAGCTCTCCTAACAACAACAAATGGATTTTAATTAATGATTAAAAGTCACTAGTAATCTTTGTTTTGATTTTGTATTAAACTAGGTCACTGTAAATTTATGTACACAATCTAAGGGTAGATCCTGTTGAAGTGGACGTATGTAGATTGTAGCCTGTCCAATCATCGTCGATGGATCTTTCAGATAGGCAAGGGTGGATCCAGTGCTGGGACATTGAAGCAATGCAAGATTTCGACTGAGAGTAGATCCTACAAGTTTTAGAAATTCAAAGCCTCCCCCTTGTTGGAGCTTTGTGTACGTGATTGAGCGGCCGGTATCTTCTGTGACGACGGAGCCGTTGGACTTCTGCTCAGAGCTTCCTCAATCAAATTCGCTGCTTCTCTCAGCAGCTCCGGGCAACTTTTTGACATTTTGTCCTGCACCTCGCACGGCGTCTGCGTCCTTGGTCATTGGGTCTAGCAGGACCGCGTCATCTCTCCGCCGTTGCAATGAAAGTTCTGTTTAACAGCGTATCCAAACCAACGTAGAGGTGAATAGCGCCACCCAGTGTATTGGAATGTGTTCAGTAGCTCTGCAGCGATCCATTACCTGGAATTGATTTGTCTTGACTTGATGCACAGGGTAACCAATCAGGCGTTCAGGTTCCGCCTACCAACTTTTGATGGGTCAGTTTGACAGTTTTAAGTAATTCATGAAGCGCTGCAATGCAGGATCATGAAATGTAAATAGTGAAATAGTTATATATGCATTTCACATACAATGAATCGGTATTTTAATTAATTAATGACACATTTAAGTAATTATTTAATGGTGTGTTTATTTATTTAATTGTGGCACTTTTAGTCCTCCATATATATATATATATATATATACGGTGGCCCTGAAGTGCAAAACACAACGGCAAATAGGAAAACACAACGACAAATAGGAAAACACAACGATGAATAGGAAAACACAAAAGCAAATAGGAAAACACAATCTGCTCCCATCCTCATACTCCCAGATCCAGCCTGGCAGTTTATTGTGGAGGTTGACGCCTCAGACACTGGTGTAGGAGCAGTCCTTTCTCAGCGGTCGGCTGAGGACCAAAGGGCTCATCCTTGTGCGTTCTTCTCCCGGAAGCTGTCCCCATCAGAGAGGAATTACGACATTGGAAACCGGGAGTTTTTGGCAGTCAAACTGGCATTGGAGGAATGGAGACACTGGTTGGAGGGGGCGGAGCAGCCATTTGTGGTCTGGACGGATCACAAAAATCTGCAATACATCCGCTCGGCCAAACGACTGACCGCCCGTCAAGCAAGGTGGGCTCTTTTTTTTAATCGGTTTGAATTCTTGCTCTCTTACAGACCAGGCTCCAAGAACATCAAACCCGACGCCTTGTCCCGGCAATTACAGCCCGAGAGCTCTCCTCCTCATCCTGAAGGTATCCTTCCCCCGGAGTGTGTTATTGGTGCGGTAACCTGGGAGGTGGAGGACAGGGTTAAACGCTCCAATGCCGAACATCCTGCTCTCAGTGCTTGTCCGGTTAACCGGCTGTTTGTTCCTGCCAACCTCCGTCCGCAGGTTCTCCAGTGGGGCCTGGTCTGCTCCCAGCATAAGAGCACACGCCAACCTCCGAACTTTTCATCCTCTGCCCATTCCTAGCCCCACATCGCCTTGGATTTTGTAACTGGCCTGCCCCCCTCACGGTCATTGATTGATTTTCAAAGTCTGCTCTATTAATACCACTACCAAAGCTAACCACTGCCAAGGAGACCGCTAAAGTTTTGCAGCAAAACATTTTCGGGCTGCATGGTTTACCCATTGACGTGGTCTCTGACCGGGGACCACCCCATTATGCCCCGGAACAACATGTCTGGCTGTCAGCGCGAGACCATCCACTTTAGCTTGGTGAGATGTTTTCTTTTCGCACATTCCAACCATGCCTATGTATAGACAAGTTTCCTGAGTGAAATAGGCGGGCCGCCATTGGCCTTTCACTCTGCCAACGACTTCCGGTTGTGTCTGCAAAGCACTTCCGGTTAGCGAGTTAGCGTCTTTTACGGTCTTTGGTTAGCGCGCAGAAAAAGTAAACTATGGATAGTGTTACACGCCGACACGGCTCCGGGACATATTGTGCTGTTCACGGTTGCAACAACTCGTGGCGATTGCTGAATGTTTGGTCGGAAGGAGAATGTTTCGACCATCAACCATCTACAAGTGAGTAAAATGCTATAGATTTGCACTCAAATACGGAAGGCTTATCATTCGCGGAAGTCAACACAGTCTACTAATTATTACGCAGATGAATGTCAGCTTTTTCATCGAAAAAAAAGTAAGTTAATACCTTTATCCATTCAGAAGCTGTTAATATATATGTCAGGGGTGCGCACTTTGACGCTCGTCAGTCGACTTTGAAGGGTTAAAGCATGCTTTTAGTGCAGGCAGGCTAGAGGGGATTACTTTTTCTTTTTATTACTCTTCGTGTTCTGTTATATATTAACACACGGATACATACAAACATCTTAATACAAGCATAAGATGGGCTAACGTACCTTCCAAAGCGCGGCGGCTGCATGGCTACAGGTACAGCTGCAGTCTCCACATCTCCCGTCTAGGTAACCAAAACCCAGGCGTTATGCGCTGAATTGTTAACGGACTGGCTTGGTTGAACATCGGCCTTTATATGCCCATATCGTGTAAAAGAACACAGCCCACTTTGTCGGAATGGAGGTACTGAAACGCCTCTGAGCTTTCTTAGGTTATTAATTGCATTCCCAGCCACCGCCATGGAATCAATAAAATAAGAAAAGATCTTGGATGTTGTGATGCTGGGCCATATCGACATGTTGTCCGCCCATAATGTTACCTTACTTTGATGCGGAATGGTCAAAACACCATTTTTAACAAGATTTTCGGTCTAATGTTGCCATTCCAAAGCCATTTTTACACCACTACTCAGCCTGCGCCGGAAGTTCTTGGCAGAAACAGGAAGTAAACCGGAAGTGCCCGGGAAACTTGTCTATAAGGAGTCAACTTCACTCTCCAAAGTATTTATTGTCTTTGTCTTGTAGCTGCTGCTTTTCTCAGTGCTAGCTCGACATACCTTAGAAAAATGGTTGTTCTTACCACATTTATGGCACACTGCACCATAAGCTGGGCACTGACGGGGCTCGCGCTTGTTTCCACATTTATGGCAGACAGTCGTTACGTGCCTCTTGCTGCTGGTTTTGCTCTTGTTCCAGCTGCCCGTGCACGTTTGCCCTGTTGCTTTCCTTAAAGCATCTACTGAGGTGTCTTGGACAACCTGTGACGTCTGCATCGCTTGTATTTGTCACTTAGCGAGCTCTGCTGATCTGCACGTGTCCATGGCTCCGCGCAAAGTGAGCGCATTATCACGCAACAGTCTCTCCTTCAGACGAATATCGTTTATGCGAAACACTCATTTATCCCAAATCATGTCATCTTCATTTCTGACAAACTCAGTCTTTGCTCTTCTGTCCACCGATATTCCTGCTGACATCACGTGTGGCCAGAATTGATGGCGTTCGAAAACCACGTTCTTTCGGGGGCTGCAGTAGTCCGTGAAGGCTTGGAGAACTTCCTCCATTGTTTCTTCATCTCCTTCTGGGATGATGCTGAGCGTGTTATACACTTCTAGCGCCTCCTCGCCGACAGTATGCAGCAGAATGGCTATTTTAACCGTCTCTTCCTTATCCAACGCACCTGAAGCGATCATATACAGCTGGAAACGTTGTTCCCATCTTCTCCAGTTTTCAGCTATATTCCCAGTAAGTATCAACGGTGGTGGCGGCTTGAACTGCTCCATGTTCGCACGTGCTAGCACTTTTTTTTTAGCTAACTTTTAAAATACCATCCGCAAATTATTCCGTGACTCCGTCTTCTGACACCATGTTGTGACTTTATGCTATATGTATAATTACTATTATAGTCATATACTATACGTGGGTTATCGAAGTCGATACAAATGCACGGAGACGAGGGGATGCAGTACAAGTTAGGTCATTTAAAATCACGCACGTGTCAGGCATGAACAAACAATCACAGAACTCCATCGTAGTGACAGTCAAACACAATCGAGCACCGAGTGCTCGATCCAATATACCACAGTGGAGAGCTGTTTTAGACAGGGTAAAGAGGTTTCTGTTTCAAATGATCCTTGCGGTGTTTTGACCAAAGTATGTTAGACATTTCATTACAGTTTTTCTCGATTGTTTACACACATTTTCTGAAAGAATGCCTCATATTCTCAGAACTCTACACACAAATCTAAAAACACACACACAATGGGCAAAACCTCTCAATTCTCCTGCAAAATGAAACTTTACATTCAAAACAATGTTATTTCTTCTCAAAATGGTATTTTGTTTTCAAATGACAAACACATATGAATAGACGTTTATAAGAACCAGTTGAACACTGATGTGCTCAATGTAAAACACTATGATGAATGGAAAACACTTCTTCTCCATTCATCATAATGACTTAGGCCTTTTTTTTGTTCAGTGATGCACTTCCTACAGACAGTACATAGTACACAGCCTCCCTCATTATTAGACCATGGTTGACCACATGATCAACCAAAGTGGCTCGGATCTCATCAGAGATTACGATCCTTGGCCTTCCTCGTCCTTCTCCGCTTACTCTCACTCCTCTGGCTCTGCCTCTGTTTCCAATGTTGGCATCCATTGCTCTATTGAAGAGCTCACCTGTTGCTCTTTTATTGTCCTTGTGATGAGACAGTGTGCATATTTGAATGGCAGAGTGTTCCTTGTGAAAATTGTGCCAAAAGCAGATAATTGTGTGTAGTGTTTTGAAAAGTGTGTTTTAGAACTGCAATTTGAGTGTAAAGCAGGAATTATGCTTGTAGTTTAGCAGAATTGGTTCAGGGGGTTGGTGAATGAGTTACATGTTGTGGTCATTGTGTCTCAAGTACCAGAATTTGTGTGTAAACAATTGAGAAGAACTGTAATGTATTGTGTCATGGAAGGTTGATTATTAGGTGAGAGCGATTCCAGGTTCGGTCACAAGATGGAGCCGTAGACGGCAGGTAATAAACTGCTTGGGTGTGGTTACCAATCTATCGGATTGGAGGATGGACCAAGCTGGCTGAAGCTACTTTTGGTTTACAGCCAATTGCTGAGGACTAAAGCTGTGACCGCCTCCGGACACAAAACGGCATTTTGAAAAGAGAGGCAGATCCTTCCACATATTTTGACTGAACGAGTTGAGGTCAGGAGCCAGCTGATTTTTTTTACATTGTATTAGCGGGTGGAGGTGTAGTGAAAAGCACTTGCTCGGCCGCGGTGTTCTGATCGTGTTTAACCCCACGTAACTCACTTGGTAATGTCAACAAGATAATCAACATGAAGCGGAGCCGTGGATCAAAGCGATGATTCTCTGATGAAGGGCGGCCAGCTCCACGACACAGTATGGAATTCAGGGTCATATAAACAATCCACCTACCGGTTAATAGGTAAAAACTGTTTGCACAGCATCTCTCTTTCTAGTGTGTTCTCTTTAAATGCATTTTCTTTTTAATCCACACTTTTTTTTTACTTTTAGAACTTTTAATGCATAATTAAAGTTCAGATTATTCTGAGGATGACAGAAAAATGATCAAGACAAACAGAAACAAAAAACACTCAAAAAATGTTTTAATATTATTGATCTGATTGTGCACAACGTTTTGTGGTATTGCCATCACAGTATCTCGGAGTGTACTGTACCCGGGATGCTGAGTAGTGGGATATCCCAGTCATTGGCACTCTCTGGTCCCCCATTCTTTTCTTAATACATTTATATTGGGTCAATGTATTGATACATGTATTAATAAAGTACATATCAATTGTATTTTAATGGATTATCTGCAAGTTTACTAATAACCAAATGCATGGAACCGTCCACATAATTGAATAATTAAGACTTGTTAAGACCCATATTAAGATATGGCATTTAAATTATTTAGTCAGTTTGTGGTTTTAAAGGAAACGGTCCTTTTAAGATGATACATTAATCATAACTAAATGTGAATGTGTACCTTATATTAATATATTACATTCACATTTACGCCCTCTTCATGCCTCTCCCCATCAAGCAGGCGAAGACGGTCATCACCATTTTCTGGTTGATCTCCACCAGGTCCTCAGGCAGAGCGTAGACTTTGGCCCCAATCTTCCTGGCCATGGAAATGGCATACCTGGTGCAGGGTCATACTTAGGATCACTATGGCAACATAGCAGCTCTGTCATTGTGTTTTGGTTTGACACTTTCCATTATCGTCACTGTTCTTTTCACAAGTTAAATATAAAAAATATAACTCAAAATTTGAGTTTTTGAAAATATTTCTGGCAAGCACATTAATCCTATTTTGTGGAGAGACTGTACTATTATCCATATACACTATGGCCCTATTCATACTGGACTAGTATTACCTGGGGACTCAGAATTGCTTAAGGTCCGAGGTTACGTATGACATCTTCCATAGCTTTCCAAAAAACAAGGTCATGTGATAATAAAGTCCAATGAAAATCGGCACCCCATTGACTCCGAGGTCTTGGCTCTGTGGGTCATTTTCTCTGCCTCATTCCTTTTTGAAAATTATGGAAATATAAACAGTTTTATCAGTATTTTAGGTATAAATCCAAGAGGGTACTCTAGTTAAACAGAGACCCATTTATGAGGTCTTTGTATTTTATAGACGGCAATGGACCATCTGAATCTCATAAGATTCCCTGATACTACTCTGTTATTAATGGAGCGTGAGTCTCCATTATATCCAGCGATCATTCTCCCAGTTCTCTGGTGAACAAAACGGATTGGAGACAAAGAAAACCCAAATAGGCTGACATTAATTCTCAGATTCGATGGAGTCATGGCTGTAATTGTCAACAATGAACAATCATGCATGTAGTTTAACTATGTTGCTCAAATAAAATGTACTTTTGAAGGACAATAATTTCTCTATAAAATATCATTCAAAAATGATTTTTGTAATTACTTGGCATTGTTGAGTTTGTCTTCGTCTGACAGACTTCCTTTCCGAACCAGCTCAAAGTTCACACTCTGTGGCTGAATGGCATCGATCAGATCCAGAACTGGTATACTGGTATTGATCACTTTGTCCTGAACAGAGGAACACACACACACACACATAGTAAAACCAAAGTCCATAACTTACCTTCTTTTTAATTGGAGGATTGTGGATTGACATATATGCACAATAATATACACATATTAATATATATATATATATATATATATATATATATATATATATATATATACACAGTATATATATACACATATTAATATATATATATATATATATATTAATATGTATATATACTGTATATATATGTGTGTGTGTGTGTGTGTATATATATATATATATACACACACACACACACACACACATACATACATATACTGTATGTTTTTATTATTGCATACTGTTTTACTAAAATACAACGTGATACTCGCCCTGAAGCTCTTGATAGAGGAACTCTTGCCAGCCTGAGACAAAGTCTTGTTGACCCATGAAACTATCAAATCGTCCCCTGCAACTTCTCCGTGTCCGAGGTCTTCAAGAACATTTAACGTGTACCTGCGTACAGATGGAAAGAGCACATGTCAGAATGCCAACATTTAAATGAAGTCATATTCTATGTCCAGTTTGGAGCTGTCTTTATTTATTAATGGATATCAGTCTGAGGGAAGATTAAAACTGATCTAACCGTTGCTATAATTTTTGGAAATGAATGTGAGATGACTGGTCACCCCCCATTTCTGCTTAATTATAATATTGTTCAAAATCAATTGGGATATTTGCAGTATTAAAATCAATACATTGCCCATGAACCACGTTGTTTTGATTCACAAAGATGGGAAATTCTTCTTCAGCTCGCCTTCCCTTACGTATTTCAAAGAGTGCTGGTTTTCTCTTTGGCTACGAACAAGCCCGGTCTTTCAGTCATTCCACTATGCAACGTTGACAGAAACAGAGCAGCACCCTCTGCCTGTGGCTGGCTGTGCAGCAACTTGTCAGTGGTGTCTCTGCTTCCCGTTAATTGGTCAGATTTGGGTTACGTTTCCCCATAAGCAGTAATGCACCTTCTCATCAGCTGCCACACCAGGGCCAGAGTTAGTGTTTGATTGCCATCGTAGAGGTCTTGTCCGCCGATCCCCACCAGGGAGAAACCTGCTTGTTTCTTTCCCAATTCCACAGCGTAGGTACAGTTTTCCATCTGTTGCACACAAATACACAAAGTTGATGTATGCATGCACATGGGCATATACACACAGACACACACATTTCCCCTCTTAGTACCTTCAATCCCTACTGTTGCCATTTGGTATGAAAATGTACCTTTTTTAGATGCCCTCCTCCTATTCCCTTGAATGGAGGGTGGTTCACTCTGCTGTCCCAGTCCACTGGCACCTTGATCCTTTCGTAGAGCTGGAGGATCACCATGGCATTCTGCAGATCACTGCATCAACACATGGAGGGATGTAATCATCGGGGCAATAAAGAGTCGACACAGCAAGTTATTTAACGACGGAGGGATGCTGACCCGTAGATGTGGTGAACACGTGGACTGACTCCCAGAGAGTTCATCCAGTTTCTGAATGTCCTCTCCTCTCTGGTCTCGCCTTGAAAGAGACAGAAACAAGCCGCTCAGAGATAGTACTACACAGGAGGTTTATGTGAGAGAGGGATTTATTCATGCAGGCTTACTTGTCAGATTCCAGTCTTGGTTCTCCGGTTTGGTGAGCGCTGGGTGTTTGTTGAACAGCGTGGCCACAAACGCCATGTTGAGTTTAGAGTTTCCACTCACGACATCGGTGGCGGTCACAAACTGCCGGCAGTTGAGGCGGTCGGCCTGTTTGAGCATACACTCCGCTCTCTTGGAGAGATCGTTCTCCTGGGCAACACACACAGAGACATACATTTAGATTTTGTCAGGGAAAGCTCTGTCCTGTCCTTTACGGTGTTTTTTGTCTTAACCAGACATGTGTGGTACTAGAAAAATCTATTTATTCCAAAGAATGGTGCTGTAACAAAACAGGCTTAACTGTTTATCATAACTCATTGTTATGCCATTATTCTGCCGTATTGTAAAGACAAAGTCATGTCACCTTTGTCCATTTTGTGAAAAATATCAAAGGGCAAAAAGGAAAACGCCATTTAAACCCTGCTGATAAACCTTAACATAAAGTCCTACATTAATTAGAAGGAAGGTCCACCGAATGTCAGTCTCCATTGAGCTTCTTGTAGCCAAATTAAAAGCATTAACTCAGTTTGAACTGAACGGTGCTCAGTTGTAAACTAACCAGAATGACACTCTGCTGCCTAAAGACCAAAAGGTGGAACGGCACGTTTAACTATTAACTTACATAAAGACCGGTCATGTCCACGTCGACTGGTGGGACGTCCTCCTTGCTGCCGTCTGGAGCGATCTGCTGCAGCAGGTGGAAGTACGCCTTGGAGTCCTGCATAGATACGGAAACAGACAGTTACAACTACAGCTGGCCGTTGGGTGTGTCTGTGTTGATGGGGTGGGCGGGGCCTCGACCGGATTATTGCATATCTGCTCATCACTCCACAGCATATCACCCCAGTATTTCACTCCACGGGACTAAGACCTCCCACCGCATGTTTCTTCCCGTCTGTAGTCGGGCTCGGTCCCGGTCCCCCACTGACACTTTCTTACACACTGCACACGTCACTTAAACATGTCACTTCAATTTGTCACTTTCTGCTCGCTGGTGCACTTTATTTTTTAACTTTTAATTTTTTAATATTTTTAACTTTAACTTGTATTCCTTTATTTTAAACTAACCCATAGCCTTATACTAGTAACCCATAGTATTTTTTATTTTATTTCTCGTGCTCTGTTGTCTTGTCGTCCATTGTCGTACTGTCTGCACCAACTGCCAAGTCAAATTTCCTGTTATCAAAACTATAATATCTACAGTATCGTCGATCTTCTCCAGATCGCCTGGCCCTATTGTACAATATGGAACTTTTCTGCAAAAGAACGGCCTGTCAGAAATGTTGCATACAAGCAGGTGGCAGCTCACTACCCAAGAATACACCAATTACTAACGAAGATGCCTGACAGAAGTAAAAACCCTTAAACAGCGGTTTTAAGTGAAAGATTTGGGCATCACATAAACATCTTCTCACCTTAATGTCTCCAGAAAAGTTTGTTATCGACATGCCAACTTTCTTCAAATGGAAATTTGCCCAGCGCAGCAGCAGCTCCTCTGGACTGAGCTTCATCAGCTCCTCCAGAGTCTCCCCTTCCTCCAGCAATGCTGCTATAGCTGTACACGGGTAGACACATGCGCAACCCCCACACCTCTTTCTTAATTCTTATCTTTTCACCACGATTACATCTGTTGTTTAAAGTATGGCCCCATGGGCAGATAAGGATGTCCATGGTTTGTTCGTACCTTCGTTGCGGCTCAGCTCTATGTCGGCGAACAGGCCAATCTTGATAATCTGCCAGAGGAGCCCGAGCACCAGGTGAGGTTTCCCCTCCTTCAAATCTTGAGCGCCGATGTTGACAACTTGGCAGCCGATGGCCGAGGCGGAATTCAGAGCCAAGTTCAGATTCTCCTGTTGGAGTTCAAGTTAGGTGAAGAAGGTCCAAAATTATGGTGGCTCTGAAGTGCAAAACACAACGGCAAATAGGAAAACACAACGAAATTAACTTCTTACAGAAAGGGTAGGGCCTTATAGCAAATAGCAGAGGACGGACCCTTCTGATTGGACTAACAGACTGCACGTCTTTTAACAGGAAAGTATACAGGGCTCTCAAGTGTCATGCATTGAGCGTGACAGTCACGCATTTCGGTCTGTTGTCACGCACTCCCGCCACACATCCAATCCCCCCCGTTATTTACTTTTATTTACAACACCTAAATATAATTGAACAACAAAGCACCGGTAAAACAATGGTGAAACACTAGTAGGACACTTTTAAGACACTTGTAAAACATCGCCATCTCTCCGTGACTTTCTGCTGCGGGTCTCCTGCTGCGTCACTTCCACCCCTCATCACAGGCTCTCAGTCCCGCCACTGATTTATTGATTGCCAGAATATCTAGAAAGCGGCATTTCTCAGCTTTCAGAATCCGATTGTGCAAGTAGTTAATGAGTCACGGTAATTTGAATCCTCTATATCACTTTCCGTCAATGGCGAAAGGCTTCGGATTAAGAGGGTTAAAAGACAGACAATCCGTCTGTCCAATCAGAAGGGTCCGTCCTCTGCTATCTGCTATAAGGCCCTACCCTTTCCGTAAGTAGTTAATGTCGTTGTGTTTTCCTATTTGCTGTTGCGCTTTATTTGTTGTTGTGTTTTCCTATTTGCTGTTGTTTTCCTATTTGCCGTGGTCTTTTGCACTTCAGAGCCACCGTACAAAATAGAGGCCCGAGCCATGCAATATAATGTATATATGTATAATCAGGGAAACAGTCTTTTATATATAAGACATCAAGAAGAGCTCAACCCTAAAATAAATGGCTTTCATGTATGTGTACCTTTTGAGCTCTGTTTGATGTGCTTCTTTAAAATATATGCAGGGAAGTTAAACCATTAACCACAGCATAAACAGCTGATTGGCTGGTTCAGACACTCACTAACCTGTGTGGTGAAAGGTGTCAGTTTCCTTTTGTTGATGGTTCTCTCATCAATGGTGTCAGAGACAGAGAGGTTGATGAGTTTACTGTGAGAGAAAAAAAACACTTAACAAACTGAACTGACAACAAGCCCTCTAGACACACAGGAGTTAAGAGTTGTGAACCAGCAGCGGGATGAAGGTCAAATTAAGTGTACAGATGAGGGTTGGAATTAGAGTTGCGGAAAAATAAGTACAGATAATACCAAAGTATGTTACCAAAGTATGATGCCGTCTGCCACTGCCTTAAACAGAGCTTCCGTTTCTGGGTTGATAGGCAGGACGTGCTTACATTCCGGATCCTTCTCCAGGGCAGAGTTGATGTAGTTGGCAAAGGCAAATCGCTCCTGCTCTACAATACAGTGGAGTCAAATATCAGGAGCCTGTCTGTCCAGATAGTCTTGGCTTGATGACGTTTGGGTCCTTATGTACCATACATTCTCCGGTATTGCTGTTACTAACCAGAGATGGAATGCTGAGTTCCTTCGCTAGAGATCGTGCTCGTTCCACCGATGGCCAGGATGCCTTCTTTCTTGTTCAGGGCTTTCCTGAATTTCTGAGCCATGCCGTCGCCCTTCATTTCCTTGAAAATCTGAATGTGTACACAACAGAGGCACGCCAGTGACTTAAGACTCCATCAAGTTCATTTGACAGGCAAAGTTTGGGCCCCACACTTTAGACTGTGGGTCTGTCCTCATCCTCCTGCACCTTTCAGAACTGTGATTGTAACCACAGCTGGCTGCACACACAGGGCCAGATAATATTTTGAGTTAGTCACTAATCTCATCAGTTGAATACAAGTCAGCCATTGTACTGTGTTGATAGTTAATTAGTTAACTGTTAGCGAGGGCTATAAATGGGTTAGGTCAATTAGTGTTACCTACAGCCGTGAACTCTTTAAAGGTGATCTGGCTGTCGTTGTCTTTGTCCAGTTTCTGGAGGAGCTCTCTGATCTGGTACCCGGGCATGGAACAGCCCACTTCTTGAAAGAGGTTACTGAGTTCCGAGGCGGTGATGTACCCGTTACCATCTGCGTCTAGAGAAGCGGGGAGGAATAGCAGGCAATATGTTAGTCGGAGCCCAAATCTCTATCCCCGATCGATGTGCCCGCATCACCACCTCTTCTCAATTGAGATCACATTGTCACTGCACACATTTCACACACAACAGTTAGTTCATGAGGAGTTCTATAACATGTAGAGATAACACATGCCCTGTTTTTAGGCTGAACATCAAAGTGCAATGCTAAAATGCTCCAGCATGCCGTTAGTAATGCATAGATTCAAATGAAGCTCTGCAGCACCTCTGACACGAGTACGGCAAATAGAGGAGAACAAAATGATCTTGACTTGACAGCATCATGTGTACACAAATAACCAATAAATGGAGAAAGTATTTCTTAAAACAATTTGACCAACAGTTTTGTGCAACACGTTTAACTGCTTACTAACACAGAGTTAGACAAAAGGATTGATACAACTCAAGTCTGGTTATTACATAGAGGCAGGGGGAAGTCAGCTTAGCATAAACAGCTGGCCTTTATCCAAGGTAACAAGATCAGCCTACCAGCAAACTCCAAAAGTCACTAATCAACCCGTTGTTTTTCAAAGAACATTTTCAAAAAGGGAAAATATGTGAGGTGGACTTTGGTTTTCACTTAGACAGAGCCATGCTTTATGCTGTGCTAAAGTTAAATGTAAAGTAACATGTAAAACTATTCTTTTAAGCCATAAATCAAAAGGCGTGGTCATCAAATGTCAGCTAAATGCTAATCACGCATTCATCAATCCCCCTTTCATCCCTTCTTCCTTAACTCCTTGACTCCTCCCTCCATCTCTCCTCAGCCCTCCTTCCTATCCTCTCTCCTTCCAATGGTTCCTGCAATACCTGCGCGCACGCATGCACACCTTTACTCACCCACTTTCTGGAAGCTCTCCTTGATCTCCATCTCCTCTGCGCTGACATTTGCTGACATTCTGACACCTATCAAATAACACAGAAAATGCATTTAAGTATTGTAATAAAATTTGAACTCGTATACATTCCACAAATAACGATAGTTATGCCTTGCGCACACTGTTCACATGCAAAAAAATGACATTGGGTGTGTTTTTAAACGAATCAGGAATCAAGAAACATTTATTGCCAAAATATGTCAGACATACAAGGAATTTGACTTGGCGGTTGGTGCGTGACAGTAGACAGTGTAACAATAGACAACAAGACAGCAGTGCACAAGTAATAAAATAAAGTAAAATGAAATGCTAATGCAATGGATTAGTAGAATAAGGCTATGGGTTAGTATAAAACAAGAGAATAAAGTTAGAGTTAAAAATTTAAAATATTAAAAGTTAAAAAATATTAAGCATAGAGTGCACTAGCGAACAAGTAACAAAGTGACGAGTGACGACAAAGTGACAAATTGCAGTTAGAGTGACATGTGCAGTATGAAGCAGAGTGACCGGTGGAATGTTCTAGTCAGTCAGTGGGGGACCGGGCTCTGTTGATGAGCCCGACTGCCGACGGGAAGAAACTTTTCGTGTGGCGGGAGGTCTTAGTCCTGATGGACCTCAGCCTCCTGCCAGATGGAAGGGGCACAAACAGGTTTTGTCCGGGGTGAGAGGGGTCGGCTACGATCTTTTTAGCTCGCTTCAGAGACCTGGAAGCGAACAAGTCCTGCAGGGACGGCAGATTGCAGCCGATCACCCTCTCTGCAGAGCGGATGACACGCTGCAGCCTGCCCTTGTCCTTGGCTGTGGCTGCAGCGTACCAGACGGTGATGGAGGAGCAGAGGATGGACTCGATGATGGCCGTGTAGAAGTGGACCATCATCGTCTTTGGCAGGTTGAGTTTCTTCAGCTGCCTCAGGAAGAACAACCTCTGCTGAGCCTTCTTGGTGATGGAGCTGATGTTCAGCTCCCACTTGAGGTCCTGGGTGATGATGGAGCCCAGGAAACGGAAGGAATCCACAATAGTGACGGGGGAGTCACACAGGGTAATGGGGGAAGGTGGGACTCTGTTCCTCCTGAAATCCACAACCATCTCCACTGAGCGTTGAGCTCCAGGTTGTTCGGGCTGCACCACGACACCAGATGGTCAGACTCCCACCTGTATGCGGACTCATCCCCACCAGAGATCAGTCCAATGAGGGTGGTGACATCCGCAGACTTCAGGAGCTTGACGGACTGGAGGTGCAGCTGTTGGTGTACAGGGAGAAGAGCAGAAGGGAAAGAACGCAGCCTTGGGGGGAACCGGTGCCGATGGTCCGAGAGGCTGAGACATGTTTCCCCAGCTTCACGTGCTGCTTCCTGTCAGACTGGAAGTCTGTGATCCACTTGCAGGTGGAGTCGGGCATGTGCAGCTGGGACAGTTTGTCCTGCAGCAGAGACGGGATGATGGTGTTGAAGGCAGAGCTGAAGTCCACAAACAAGATCCTGGCGTAGGTTCCTGGGGAGTCCAGATGGGGGTCCAGGAGGGGGTCGGTGAGGGACTTCAATGAGTCTGCAGTCGTCCTCTTTGGACATTTGGTTTGATGCTATGCGCTCCTGTGTATCGATGATTGATTAAGGTTGAAATGTGGGTGTTTGATGGGCTACGTTTGTGCTTTTCTTAGCCCTATAACACTTTTGTAGATAAGCATTTGCCTGTAATGTGCATGCCCTAGGGTGTCCATGTTGTAAAAAGTAAGATCATCACGTCTTTTATTACAAGGACTAACGGCAGTATAGATACTGTCAAAGTATCGAATGTTACTTTACGAAGTAACGTGGACCATGAGATGTACTTTTGTTTATGGTTTTGTTTCAGTTTGCTAGTGATTTCAAACCAAACCATCCTATCTTTTACTGTACGTCAAACACCACCACAGTCCTCACCATTTCATATTTATGTCCATACTTCAGTTCCCCTCATCGGTAGTGGGGTGATTTGCGGTGTGGTGTATCATAAAAGGATTTAATCATTTCCGTTGAGATGACCCGTTAATACCACCAAACAGGCTAATTAATTGTGGTACTTTTGGTCACTTCTGTTTTGGATAAAGCAGATCCCTTCAGTCACAGATCAGTGCTTTCAGTGGCAAGCCTCCATCGGAGCACTGCAGCACATTACATCAGAGTGTGTTATAGACAACAGTGGCCTAGACATGCCGTCCGTTTAAAAAAGGGAAAACAAGATTATCATGCATGATTTAGTGTGAGAGAGAGTGTTCTGCTGCAGAGAGCAGAGCCCCGCTAGCTGAGACAAAAAGACAAGGCAACTTGATTTATTAACAATCAATGCGACCTTACAAAGTCAAACCTCACGGACATATAAGGCGTTATTAGCCTGAGATATCAATGGCATCTCTTCTGATTTGATGAAGACATGAACGATGTGCTTCCTCGCATCTTTTAGTCTTCCACCGGTAACTTTGCAAGAAACACTGGCAAGACATTGTACAGAAAAGGTCCTGCGGCTTTTTGACCTTTTACAGAATTACAAATTCAGATGCCTCTCTGTACGTCTACAAAATCTCCACAATCTCTAACGCGTGAGCAAATAAACAAACGAGCAATGCTTGAGCACGTACATGCAAAGACAGTGGTTACATCAGCATAAACAGTCACGAACAGACACAGGGGGAAAACCACAGGTCAATATTGTCAAAAAGATGGGGGTCTGAAGACACATTGGACATAGATAACTGGAGTGCAAAAGGCTATTTGTATAATGGATAGAGATGCATTCTGCTTAATACAAAACAGGCTTCTTATAAACAATACAGACAGCATCATCCTCACAGCCATATAAACTAAAAAACTAAATCACCAAAACAATGAATAGCAAATGCAATAAACAGTCACAATACCATCCTCATCAAAACCTTTCCCGTGTATAATAGCTCAGCTCATGTAGAATTGTTGTATAATTGATTTGATTCTTGTATTACAGAAAAAGAATAATACATTCATAATGCCACAAGATGTCACTGCTTCAGAGGGAGCAGACATTGCGGTAAAGGTTTGCACTAGCTAGGTTTTCTGGTTAGGTTACTTAGTGTAGAGGTCAGGAAATTGTTTGTTTTTTTTCAGGAAGTCTTATTATTACATATTTGCAGCACTAAATTATAATCACACTAAATTAAAAAAAACAGTCTGTCACACTTATAGCTAAAAGCCAATCATTGCAAACATCGGCTCCATGACAGAGGATGTTGATGATTTTTTGATGCACATGTTTGAAGCAGCGCGTAAACCTGCAGGAATCTCCCCCCCACACCCACACACACACACAACACATCCAGTGTGTCACACCTATAGGTCAAGTTGTGTTTTTGCCCTGTCTCCACGTTTGTTTTGTGACTTCCTGTTTTATTTTGGAAATTAACTCTCCTATCGTTTCAGGTTCCTTGCTCTTCCTCATGTGTCAGTCTGATTGTCTTCCCTGATTCCTGATTGTGTCCACTTGTTCCCACACGGCCCTCATGTGTACTTATATTCTGCGTCTCCCCTTGTCTTGTGCCAGTGTGTCATGTCCTTTCGTCTTGCACACCCGCCTCACGGGAGTATCAAGTCCGAGTGGTAGTTTTGTCTGTCCCAAACCTCGTTATAGATTTCTTATTTGGCTTTGTGCCGTTTATTGCTCCACAGCCTTTTGTTTTGTGATTGATTATTTTCTTATTTCTTCGGCGGTTGTGCCATTTTGCATTTTGACTATTCAGCTCTTCGAGTTAAATCAGAGCATCTTTGGTTCTACTTTGTTATTTTCTCCTTTCCTCGCTAAGAGTTTTTTGTTTGCTTCCCGTCATTTTGTATTGCCCAGCTCCCTTAGTTTAGCCAGAGCATTTCCTCGTTCATCCCTCTTCGGAGGAGTTTTTTTTTCTCCAGGGATTCCCCTGTGAATTTTTGTTGGGAAATAAAAGCTTCAGCTGAACCTCAACTCTACGTCCTCTAAGTCCTCCTCAAGAGCTCCCCAAGTGACACAGTGTCTCTAAATCTTAAACTGTAGATAAGACCGTATACAATAAATGCATCCTAATGGTCTAATTCATTTGGTAACAACAGCAACAAATAATGTAGTTCAAGTTGAAGTGTGCATGTAAGCTAGTATTTTGTACAATGAGACAGTGACTGCAGGAAAAGCGCTTCCTTTATACAACTCAATTTTACTTTGAAATTGCATTCGTGCTGCACAATACATCGGCTGTGAAATACCGTTTTTTATATATACTTTTTATTTATAAATTATTTACGTATGTTTGCACAACGTTAATACAGAATAAATAAAGCATGCACTTGTACACGTGATTAAAAATGATGCACTGTAATTGTTTGGTCTGCGAAGAAAATTCCTTTTCCAGTGTACAAAACTAGTTTTTTTCATTTGCTGCATGCCTCACGTGTTGACAAACATTAAAGCACATTTACATCTCTTCACATCTCCTGGGGTACACTGCGTGAAATGTCTAATCTGGCGTTTAGCAGTGCGTTGTAAATCCAATTCACTGCCCCGTGAGCCGTGAGAAAACGCCCTTAGCCGCTCCGTCCACTTACCTGAAGTCCACTGGTGCAATCCGGCACCATCACCCGGGAGGAAATGAGTCCTCGTTCTGGCGTCTCACCGCTCACCTCTCCCGTATCCTTATGGGACACCGCCCAGTGGGGAGAACCGCTCCGCCCCTTTGGCACCGCTCCTTCCTTTACCGAGCGCTCCTCCGCCTTCCTGACGTCAGCTGCCATGTCTGACCACTCGTCTGAAAAACAGCTAAAGTGGAGAAAAACTTTGTATTTTCCCGAACATTACCTGCAACACAGATAATAACTAACGTTTAATCAATAGAAATATAATAAATATAAAATCGGTTTTCTAAAATTGCGCACTTTGTGGCCCATTTTTATGCAAATGCTAAGCTATATTGATGCAGAAACGCTCATGCGCTATCTTAAGTAGCTGACACTAAATATGCCAGATGTAGAATAACGTTAAAACTGAAAAACCTGGACACATGGTTCCTTTTCAGGTAAAGCACAACTCACTTACACTATTATTAACAACGTTATGGAAAACATGAAAAAAATTGGTTCCGTGTTTTTTCCCAATATTTGTGTATTGAAGCGAAAAGGCGCGCAAGGCGAGCCACACTGTCGGCCCTACGGCGACATGATTTTAAGAGCTTTAGCGTTCAAATGAGAGTTATACCTTCGCCTAAAGGATGAGCCACCGTTTACAACTATGTATGTCCAAAATATATATATATATATATATATATATATATATATATATATATATACACATATCAAAAAACCTTTTTACACATTTTGACAAGATTATCTTCCCATCAAACAACGCTTTCAAAAATGTTTAAGCGACTAAGCATCATCCCAAAATATTCCCATTCCCAATATTATTTTTGGTAGGGCCAGCCGATTAGTTTATGCAAACCTCCCAGTATGATTCAATGCAAAAAAACGGTATCAAACACTGTTAAATATTTTACTTTTATTCCAACAGTTTAACATAATAAGGACATCTCATTCATACAATTCCGTGTATTAATATGTATATAACGTAAAATGCGAGGTTAACTTTCCCTAATACGGCTAGTTTGACGGCGTTATCCGTGTGTGTCCTGGTGTTCTCTGTCATTTTCTTATTTTTTTGCCAACAAATGCTTCATGTCGCTTACACCCGTATCTGTCCATGCTGGCCGGATCTGTCCTTGTTGATTTAAAAAGCAAGCATGGGAGGAAAAACACGACTGCATCTAGCTAAACCTTCCGGGTATTCCAGTCTCTACAGAAGCTTTGTATGTGCGGCTTCCCTTTCACACCGGTCCGTTGTCTGATTGTGAGGTCAGGCTGATCTGGGTCCAGTTGTTTTCCCTCTAGTCCCCCGACAAAGTTTTTATAGGAGAGATTTTAGCGGGTTTGGGTGGGGTTTTCATGGAAGAATACTGCTCTTGCTCGCCATTGCCATGTTGTTAAAACGGCCCCTCGCAAGAATAGCCCTGATGAGAGTGCAGTCTGGGATGAATCTATTTTAGGACGCTGAAATTATGTCACTCATTTATCTTTAATCAGTAATTAGCAAAGCTGCTTCTTAGACATGTCGCTTTTGGACCTGGTCCCAGCACCGCTGAGACATGCAGACGAAGAGGACGTCCAGAAAAGCATGTTTTGCACAGATATATTGTTTTCAAATATTGAATATACTGGGTATATTTCATATTTCAAAAACACAAATATTCACTATTTGTAAATTGTATTTTTAATATAATAAAACCAATTATAACTTTCTGGGTGGGGTGGCTGAAGGTGGGGCCACGCCCCATGGCCCTCTATGGACCAGCCACCACTGAAAGTCAAGCAGGATTGCCATCTTCATAAGTTCAAACCTGTAAAATATTGTGGAATCATACACATACACCACTGTAGCTTATTTACATTACCAGCACATGTCACCCTTCTTTCCAGTAAGCCTGTGAACAATCGTCAATTCAAGGCGAAATCACCATCAGAAAAAATTCCAAAGGGTGTTTAAAAGGCGATCTGCAGCAGATTACTGATGTGTTTATTCTACAAATCATCAAGTGTACCTTTATGAAGAGTCAGAGCTTCACTGCAGCTACCAGTCTGTACACGCAAGCATACCTCTTCCTCCTCTCATTCCTCTTCTCCCCATACCTTACCTTCCTATTCCTCCCCCCGTGTCTCTTCCCTCTCACCTCACATCCCTCTGTTTCCAGTGATGTGCTGAATCTTGTCATAGGGAACCCTGGGGCCAAAACCCAGGAAGATCTTTCCAGAGAGAGTGTTGACACATACCAATGAGGCCAGAGACCTTTGTTACTGTGGCACCAATGGCTAATGTTGAGGGTGCGGCCAGTAGCTCCCATGTATTTAAACTATCTTTATGTTCTTTTCCACTAATGGCATGTGCCAGAATGTATTTATCAACATCAGAGAAGGAAGAATGAGGATTGAATAAAGTGCTACGGACTTTGGTTAGATCATCACGCGCGACCAACCAACCAGCCACACCTACCGGGACCAAACACCAGCAGCCTGCACCATGGAGGAGTGTAGTGGCGGGAGCTAAGCTAAGCTAACCAGCTAAGCACCTGAGGCTACTCAGCCTGCTGCTGGCTGAATGCTGCCGGCTCAGAAGAACATAACGTGGAAAAAGACAGTTTAGTTCTTCAGCACAATGACAATAAATGATCTACTGTCTTTCTCTACGCCATCAACCGTCCAATAAACACATCATATCCAAAAGTAAATATGCGGCCCCTGAATTGCTCATTTACATATTAATATCCCCACAGTCCATAACTGATCTTGTCTTGTGATAGCATAATTTGTACTTTTCCTCAAAGCTATATTAAGGTTTTTAAAGGACACACATTGAGTTCATTTCCAGGTACCCTACACACTTATTTTGGTATGGTATACGTATTTTGGATTTCTATTATAACATGTTTACAAGCCTTAATGATCAAAACTATATTCGTCTCAATGTCCTTTTAAATTTACTTCACCCTCTTTTAAAAAAAACTCAATGAAATTGAGTTGCTTGTCAACATTTACTTTCAACTGATGTAATTCGCGTAAATCAAAGCAGGAAGTAAATTAGGAGATATTTAGAGGTTTACGTTCTGCCATTGTAGCTTATTTTCTACACAAGAAAAAAACAGCAGTGTAGTCCTGCTCCCTGTAGCAGGTGGAACAAAAACACTTGCCCAGCAATAGAGACCAAAAGACAATATGTGTACTTACTTACTTACTTATAAAACACATATATATGACTTATGGAATGTAATGATAAGATTTTGACTTGTGTGTGAACAGAAGGACCAGCCTTGGACAGCGTCTGCTGGTGCTGGTAGCTGATAAGTGGCTCATGTGACACCACTAGTATGTCAACAAGCCGAATAAAGAAGAACTGTTGGCCGATTCACTACTGCTGGCATGCTGACCCTTGTGCAGTGTGGTCAGGATCCTTTTAACACGTGACTCATAAAGCAAACTGGAGCTGGTAATATTTGACTCCCGTAGATCTTAATATTTGGTTTACGGGTTACGATACAAAAATATAAACCTCATATTCATCAAAAAATGGGTCACTGGTTTCCCCAGATATTACATAATCAGAAGTATATGTATGTATGTATGTATATGTATTTTTCGGGACTGTGTTCAGCTGTTCTGGCGAGTAATAACAGCATCAGGTGAAGCGCCCATGTTTATAGTAATGAAGAAAGATGCAGTAATGTGGCTTGTTACTTGTTTTAGTGTTGCTGGCCAACATTGAGGCTTTGTGACACAAGAGGAAACTTGCATGTTATTAAATGTTGATACCACTGATATACCATCACAGGGGGGGGGGATTTGATTCAAATTGCATTTGGACACAAGCTGACAGCTTTTACAGACTAAATTTCTAAAAATTGATGTTAAAAGTAAATGGACAGAGGCTGACCCAACTTGCCTGCTTTGTTGGCACAAATGCCCCCTGTAGGAATGCACTTTTTAATGATACAGAACGATATCATCACTTATAGCAAATCCGCTTCCTCTTCTCTCAGGAGGTAAGATTTAAGAGAGGAGAAACACAAACAGCCATCTTGCTACTGCAACAGCCGGTGCACATGGAGGGAAATGTCAAAGAGCAGCACGATGGAGAGGTATCAAAAGCATTAGAGGACGTTCCATCACATCCTGTGTTTGACCACTGACCTCCTCTCCAAAACTGTTTAGTGAAGCTGAATGAAGGAGTGGGAGGAAGGAATGCTTGAGACCGGCCACTTCCACTGTGCTGTTGTCTTTTTATTTTTTTGCAAGGTTGCAGAACACAAACTATTTAGTGATGTGTTTGGCTTTTATTCCTGCTGTTGTTGGTAACTTTACTCTTGTGCTGTTATTCCAGCTCCTTCAAACTGTTGACTTAATCCTTAAAGAGACAGCTCACCCCCGAATATAAAAAATAGAAATACTTCCTTTTCCCTGGCGTGCTCTTTACTTTACCTGGTTAGTCAAGATAAACCATGTGGATTACACCAAAACAATGTACACCAATAAATAGCACAACAGGTAAGATGTATATTTAGATTTTGGACACCTGCAGTACGTCTCAAAGAACCAAATAAGCATGACTAGCAGAATAAATAGTAGGAGATTGTCTCCTTGTATTCTTAAAATATCTGCGTGTGACGTCATGCAAGACAGTTCTTATGAGGGTGTGAGTGTGTTTTATACCCCCCCCCATTGTCTCAAGCACGTCAATAGAGAAAGGTTTGTGACGTTTGAAAGGCGACACTGATGCGGTTATCAGCGTGTAGCAGCGAGGGTTTGTGTGTATTTGTGTGTGGTTTTAGGAAGGTCCTCTGGAGAACAATTTCCCAAACCACACCCCACACACACTGCACTCACTTTAGCCCACTTATCCTTATATGGTCATACACACGGCTCGGCTCACGATTGGTGCAACGGAAAAGAAAACATTTTGATAGAGGGTACGGGGGGGGCGGGCACACCTGCACAGGCATGCACGTGTTCAACACTTGGTACCAATGTTTCCTCTGCATGTATTGATGCTGGGTGGGATCACTGCTAATAACGCCGACAATTTCTCGTCCCAACTCTTCATCATTATGTAGATGTTTTTATGAACTCTG